CTTGCAGCTTGGAGTGCATTGAGGATCTCATCTCGGCGAATGATTGTTCAATGCTTTGAAGGGAAATTAGGTTTCTCTGGAGACAAGAGAGAAAACTCTTGGCGAGGTCAACAGTAATGGAAAGGTTGCTGATGGCGTTATTAGATAAGGAGTATCTTGATTCCTCCTTTCCTAGTGAGTTATTGAAATACTCTATGTCACTTTTTTGCAGAGCTATGAACCGTTGAATGCGCCTTGTTTCGCTAATTGTTGGCGGTTCATTGGAACTGAAGGAATAAAGCATTGAGCACAGTAGAATGATGTTATTCCATTGAAATTTACCTTCTTTGGGCCATTTGGGACAATGATGCTAGAGAGGTGGTGGTCAAGTGTGAGCCTGACACGCGTCGGCGCAGTCGAAGTAGGTACTCGAGCGTCTCCGCTCTCCTCGATATGGTTCAAAGACTCATTATCCTATTATAGCATAATCTGTCGTTTGATATAGCCCGCCGGGATTATAAGGCTTCGATAAGCTGTCCAGAAATTCTGTTCATACGGTTGCCTCGCCAGTAAATGGTCCTCGCCCTCACACTCGTCTAACCACGGTTGATGACCTGTCTTAGCGAATCAACTAGTGGATGGAAGAATGAAGTAGGCCCAACATTCAACCAGCGCGGGGCGTCCATGCACCTCTATAGAAGAGATCAAAAGAGCCCTCCAGGTGGTTTTGGTCGTAAAGCTGCTTTTGGTTAGAAATGACATTGATCTATTTGCTGTCTTCTATTATGCTGTCCGAAATGATGAAGGGTTTTCTCTAGAAAAGGTCGTTACGATATGCGGACCTGGCGAGATAGAGGATAATCCAACAGATATCAATCAGAAATATAGATACTGGGACTATCTGCCAAGCGCTAAGGCTCCGGGATAGTCCCTTTGCTGTGGTGCTAGTAAAGGCCGAGCATACTTCCCTTACAATCAGGAATTGGTATTGGTTCATACTATCAAAGGTATCAGCCCTGAAGCATATGGTGACCGAGAGATCTGTCTACACGGCAGAA